TCGTGACTCTTCCCCCACCACATCACGGATGCTCCACACCTACCCAGACATCTCACTTCCGCTCCGCTCCAGAGTCCGTTGGCCATGCACTCCCGCACGCGGGACCCCACCAGGGTGTAGCCGGTGTTGCAGGAGAAGATGGCCGTGGCCCCGTAGCTGGTCAGCGTGCCGATCTTGTTCCCGTTGGGGGGGGTCGGCAGGTCTCCGCAGGAGATAACTAAAAGAGATCCCAAAGCACAGAGAGCGAGAAGAGGTCGGGAGTTATGTTTTTTTAAAGAAACGTGCTCAGTGGTGCTACCACCACAAGTTGTTGCTGAAGGCAGAAACGAGTAGGAAAGATCATTAAATAGTTACGTGGATAATAACAATGATTCAGAGTCGCGTTACACGAGGTGACAAATATAAGTGCTATTAATATTTACACTTCGGGACGTGAGGGATGTACTGAAGATGAGACTGGCTGGGAAAAAACTGTAGAAGTTCTTCACACAGGAATATTTCTGTGATTAACCCATTGCTAGATACAGCCAGGAAGCCTGACTTCCAGAAAAGCCATAAACCAGCACAAGATTTCCAATTATAAAGTGTCATCCAGCTGCTTCTCACACCAGGAGAAGGTGTGAGAAGGACACAGACCTCCAGGACAGAGCTGATGGGGATCAGACCCAGGGAGGACCCCAGCCGAATGCCAGGTTTGCAGGGGGCAGCGGGAGCCCCATCAAACACACCCCCAGCCCCAAACTTCAGTTCTTCCTTTTATCCACCCTAACGATGTGCAAACCCTCCGGAGCTTTCGCACTCAGCAAGAAATCCAGAGACTCACGCTGGGTGCTTCTGACCCCAGCGCCTCGCCAAGACCCTGTCATTTGAATTTAGGTGGCAACAACGCTGAAGGAATAAAACGAGGTCAGGCTCGCGCTGCCGGATGCGGCTGCGGAGCCAGCAGGGGTGGAACTACAGCTGTCACCGACGTCGCAGTCGCATCTCTAGAAACAAAGGGAAGCAGGAGGGAAGGGGAAGCTGCCGTTCTGAAGGAGAAATTTTTCTGTCTCTTTCTGCACTTTGAGAGGAAAAAAAACCCTCCACCTTTGACAAAAGAAAAGATCCAAAGCACAGCAGTCACGTCAGAGCTGCCTGTTTGCCAAGAGTGTTTTTGATTTACAAGTGACACTGTCACCCTCATAAACTTGGCGTTCGCACAGAATTGGAAGAGGTTAAGTTTTAAATCAGAATTTTTTGTTTTCTTTCTTCAAAGTAAACTTCAGAGCATCTGGCACCGGTGACACTTAAGCTGCAGGGACCCGACAGCAACAGATGAGCTGCTGTGCTCGAGTTCTGGCGGAACTGTTCGGATCAAACCAAGAACCAGATCAGCAGACGACCTCTCCCTGTAACCAAACTTATTTCATACCAGAGCAGTTCCGCAGCCACGCTCTCAGGGCCAGGGCTGTGGTGCTTTTGCACACCAACAGCAGAGCTTGCACACCCACCCAAGGGAAAGCAGAAACCCCATTCCCTGCAGGACACCCCGTGAAGCTGCCCTGCCCTGGCGCAGCTCTGAGCTTCTCTTACTTTTGCAGGTCGGCATCGGTTCGCCTATGCTCCACTTGCCGTTGGCTTGGCACCTGATGACCCGCTGGCCCGTGTAGTAGTAGCCAGGGTCACAGATGAGCATCAGCTGGGCGTTGTAGTGGTACTGGATCTCGTAGGTGAGCCGCCACCGACCGTGCTCAACCGCGATGCTGTTGATATCGGGACAGGTGACAGCTAAAAACCAGGCGTGGTGAGACAGGGAAAAGGAACAAGACAAAGATGTCAATAGGTGTTTAACTCCAGGGCGTTTCAACAAGTGTGCTGCCTTTTTAACAAGCAAGTCAGTACTAGCATCTCTGTTTTACAGGTGGGAAACCAAGACACCACGAGAAGGGATGTCAGACCCAACTTGATGTCCTAAACACTGCAGCACTTGTGAGGCAAAGCTGTCCCCGCCAGGGCTGGCAGACATTACTGAAGGGACTTCCAAAATTCCCGGTGGGACCGCCGCGGCCGCGCGCACTCACCGGCGCACTGCGGGGGCTGGTTGCCGTTGCTCCACTGCCCGGCCTGCAGGCACTCTGTACTGGGCTCCTCGCCGGGCGGCAGCTGGAAGCCCTGGTTGCAGTGGTACACAGCCTTCGTACCCACCGTGTACTCCTTGCCAAAGACGACGCCGTTCTTTGGGGCTCTGGGAACTCCACAGGAGAGAGCTGGGAAGGACGAGGGGGGAAAATAACACAGCTGAGAAATCAGTCAGCTTCCAATTTTATCATGGATTTGTGGTAATTGAGCTGAAAGCCCACATCCCAAGCTCTCTCCTAGTCGCAAAAGCTCCAGCCTGCTGTTGAACCCCAGAAGCTGCAGTGAATGCCCACTTCCACAGAGGATCAGATTTTCAACTCCTGTCTATCAGTGTGGCAACAGCGAAGCCAACACTGAATACCAATTTCTACTGGGAGAGACTCCGGCTCGTACTTTCTATAGTATCTGTAACACGGTATTCCAAAGTTTTCACACTGAGACAAAGGATTAGATAGCAATAACGTTTTGTATTTACATCCCACGGCAGCAACCACCTGAAACCCCTTTCCAACAGCACTTCTGCATTACATAAAGCAGCAAATTGTGTAATTATGTTGTGGCAGAAGGAAGGCTAAATTTAGCATCACGGCTGAGAAGGTAAGGGGGGGAATTCAGGGAAAAAAAAAAAAAGATAAAGAGGCACAAGGCCAAACAGCTGCTCAGGATGGCAGCACTTTGGACACGATGCTCTGCACCGTTCCTGCCGAGATCCTCAGTTCTGTGGCCATGAGAGTGGCCAAACAGGGCAGAAAGGGAACAGGCAGGACATAAACATGAGCAACAGCCAAATACAGACAGACTGGAATCGTGTTCTTTTATGTTGCAAGAGTTTTGCAAGACACGACAAGCCCTGTTACCCTCTGCCCTACTGCTGGGAACACCAGCACTGGGAGTCTCTCATTCAAATCTTGTTTTTTTCCTCCATCAGCATCCAGAAGAGCTGGGAAACCAACCCCAGACCCGCCTCCAGAAACACCACGTGTGCTCCCATCCCTCCCTCCCAGTCGTGGCTCTGGAGGAAGCCAGTCTCACTGGGCTGGAGGTGCGCAGCCCACCCGTCGGGACAGGCACGGGATGGCGAGGGGGAGAGCAGCCTGGGACCAGTAAAGCTGCCATTTGGAGACCCCCAGCCAGCGGGGCTGCCAACAGCCTGCGTGGGACATGGAGGCGAGCAGAGCTGCCAGCAAGCACCGACTCGGAGGCCAACACCTTACCCAAATAATGGTCTGCAGTTTCAGAACGCTCTAAAGGAAATCCATTCTTCCTGGAGGAGCCCGAGCTGCTCCTGCTCGGCTAATGCACAAGCTGGAGGCTGAGCCTACGTCTCCTGAGCCACACACTGATATTTCAACACTCATTCACCTTCCTGTTACTCCCCTGCACACAAACGAGGGCCAGAAAATCGGCAACCTTAGAAAAGTCACCTTCTGGTGACACGGACCCCACCGGGCGCCGAAAGCAGAGACCAAACTTACTGCGTACAGCATCAGCACAACCACCGCAGCTTTCTACCACTCCAGGTCCAAGATGCTTTTATCCCACCAGTGCTACAGGAGGCGGGCAGAGCCCCAGCCCAGAGCACAACCACACGGCACCTCGCGGACGCTGGTGCTGCTAATAGGTGCGAGTAATTCAGCGGGCTCCTATTAGCACGATCAGGCACATCCCTGGTTGGAATGATAATCACACGTACGTCACTTCACCGAGCGAAGGAGCTCGGCGGATCTCTCCACAAGGCTGGGTGTCTAGACAAGCAGCCACGCTGAATACCAATGTCATTCTGAGGCACAAGAAGAGGGGACCTGGAAAGTCCTACCCTTTCACTTCCATCCGGCAGCTCTCTTGCTACTTTCTGACCTTGCGTCCAACCAAAGAGGCTGGTGAGAAAGATGACCCCTTTCCCTTGCCACTGCCCCCCAAAGCCTTCTCCTTCCTCTGGTCGATCCTCTTCTGCAGTCCAATGCTTTACCAAACTCACCACCTCTTATCTGCCATTAGGAAACTGAGGCACAGAGTCTGAGAGGGAGGGACACCAGGAGTGAGGAGAGCCCAGGGCCAGCCTTGGTCCAGGTCAGGGAGGCTGAGCTGCCACTTGCCTTCATGCCCCTGCTCGAGGGAAGGATGACTTACCACTGCCTCCTCCTGCCTTGAGTGCTCCGTGTCATCATTTAGAGTCTTTCCATTGCGTAATCCCTGCCCTGATACAAACGTCAGCAATAATGCAGAGATTCTGGGCCAGATGCAGGTAACAAAGTCCATTAAGCCACCAAAAATAATAAAAAAAGTCATCCTCTTCACCCACAGACAGTCGGGCTACAACATGAAGCAGGATCAGGCAGGGAGAGCCGTGGGGCTGTGGCCTCTGCTGCACCACGTGGGCTCCGGTGCCCTGTACCCATGGCACAATCCTTCCTTCCTCCAAACCCAGTACCCTTGAGCAGAACGTGGCATTAGTAAGGTTTTATTTACAGGGCCCTGCATAAAGCAGAGAAGCTTGATTTTTAGGGCAGCAATAAACTTGCCATCTGCTCAAAAAAGCCCTTCTGAGGCTCATATTGTGGGCACTGCAACCCCACCAGAAACAGAGGAGGTGAAAGACAGTAGATGTTCCAGCGGAAAGCAAACCAGCGTTTGGCTAGGAGACACCCAGAGAGCATGGTCCAGGGAAAAAGGAGCACTTACAGGAGAGCAGAGGTACAAAAAACTCTTTCTGCAGGAAGATGATGTGCTGGGAAAGGGACAGAGGCTACGAAAGCAAATCTGCAGCTGGGATTCCAAAAACAAAGCAGCTTAAAAATAGGCAGTAGAGACAGAAAAGGCACATTAGATCATCTTGTGTTCTCCCCCATTGTGCCAACCCAAGATTGTTCCCTGCAGAACATTCTCTGCTGCTTCCATAAATGTCAGCTAGGACAGAGCACGTAGTAAAGATTATTCAGAGGGGATCAGGAAGGGGAAGAGGACTATGCACTGGCAGAAGGGAGCTATGGGAAATGTCATTTGTTAACTAGACCATGTGTTTATGGGCACCCCAGTTCCCCTCCTCCTGACCCCGCCGATTGCGCGAGCGATTTCTGCGGCGTTGTGGATCGAGTTCCCAAACCTCTGCCATGTGGCCCTGGCCACCAGAAAGGATGAGAAATTGAGCGCAGCCCAAAACAAAGGGTTGCCAGTTGGCTTTGAGAGCAATGTTTTA